ATATATATTTCAGCTGGCTCTTGAGTGAAATGTGAAGCATTTAAGGTATTTGATAGTCAGTCACCGTAATAAAAAACTACTCCGTATAGCCGGTGGTGTAGTGTGACATATGAAATGTAAATCATAGCTGTATGCAGAAAGACCTGATGCAGAACATCCATCACTACCATTTGAATCTTGATCTCCTTAAATCAGCCATAAAAGCGAAGCCGCTCTACTCGCTCCTTTCATCCGACCGGCTATTTGATAGTACAGACGTGAGGTTATTTGTTGTGTTCAGGACACACGAGGAGATTCAGATATCACACACTTTGCAAGGTTCAGCCACTTCGCCTTCATCACATTTTTAAAAAAAGGGAATAAACATAGTACATCAGGAGTATGTTATGTGGCCTGTGAACACTGCAGTACAGAAATGCCAAAGTAGAAGAATGCTTCTCCATCATCAAAGATTTTTCTCCACGATATTTCCACCTGCAAGCGCCACGCACTACTGCAGCTGTCCTGTTATTAGAGACTAAAGGTAAAAGACCACTTTGGGTAATTGTGCTTCTGGTAATACAGCAATCAGAGATCCAGGGGCACTAAATGTACTGTTCGGTGGTACGTTCAAGGCCCTTAAGGGATCAGTATCACTATATTAAAAAATGCATAATTCATTGCTTGTAATTTGGAACATTGTAAGCCCACGAATTCATTAATGTGTTACGCCCTCATTAGCACATTCCACTTTGTTTATTTCTTTATTTTTCTACTTTAATTGTACTGTTTTATTTTGCTATGTATTTACATTTTAGTTTACTATGTACATTCATAGTACATTTTGAACTTGCATCAGTATGAATACAGAGTATATGGTCACTAAACTCAATGTCAGTACCCTGAAAATAGCCTCATGCCGTCTACATCAGATCCTCAACAATGCACACTGTTAACAGCTGTGTAGTTACCAAACAGAGGGATTAGGCTGCAAAGGACTGGTCTGGAAAGACACTTTAAGATGTATATTCAAGGACCACTAAACAGTACATGTAGTGCCACTGATTGCTGTATTACCAGAAGCACAATTACACAAAGTGGTCTTTTACCTTTAGTCTCTAATAACAGGACAGCTGCAGTAATGCGTGGCGCTTGTAGGTGGGGGAAGAATCTTTGAGGATGGAGAAGTTACTGCACATTAGAAAGAGACACTAGTATCAGGGTAAACTTGCAATGAAAAGGAGCTATTTTGTGGCAACGAGTTACTGGTGAGAACTCATCTTTACTTGAAAACAAACAGCAAAACTGCCTTTTAAAACCAAAGAGGACTGGACGTTAGCTAACGGGTGGCACAAATTAAGTTTGTCAGTTTCTGATCTGGTCCATTCACAAAAAAAGCCTGTCATCACATCGTCGCGTAGCCACAAAAGCTACAACAACGTAAAACGCTTATATTTTTGGTGAAGAGCTGGCAGGAAGACCTAGCGAAAGCTAGCTAGTAAGCCAGCCAACAGCTACTTTATACTAAGCAGATGTATCGTTAGCATACAAGCTAACAGGGGTATTGCATTGCAGAGAGTCAACACTGAGCTGGACAGAAAGGAGCCAACGAGACGTAACGTTAGCAATCTTACCTGCTGGATTAAAGGTGTCCTGAAAAAAGCCGGTGTTTGTTTAGGAGCCACCAGAAGTAGTTGTTTTCGGTTGGTCGGTTAGTTTAAAAGATTCCTGTTTCCCTTCAGGTTTGAATCAAGGTTCAAGCGAAGAGACTGGCTGACTGTGCTGCCTCCCAGCCACAACAGCGACTGACTACAGCTCGCTCAGGATCTGCTTCTCACTGGGAATGATCTGCAGTATCGCGAGATTAGGACGAGACCTCGGAGATATCTACGAACCAATCAAATTAGCCGGCTGGAAAAAAGCGTTTGTTTTGTTGTTGTTGCTCACTGCATGGTGCTCTGTGTAAAATAAAATAAAATAAAATAAAATAAAATAAAATAAAATAAAATAAAATGAAATAAAATGAAATAAAATAAAATAAAATAAAATAAAATAAAATAAAATAAAATAAAATAAAATGAAATGAAATGAAATGAAATGAAATAAAATAAAATAAACGTCATGGTAAATCAGGATAATAAAGTTAAAATAGAAGTACAAAATATTGTTATTTTGTTTAAAATCACATTCACCTGTGGTGAGTTTGCCAAAATTCTGTGAAATGAGCAACTTGCAGGTTCAACTGTTTACTAGATTTATACTCGATCTTTCCGGAAAATTACCAGTCGAAAACTCAGTGCACAATTATATATATTTTACAAGATATAATGGCAGAAATTAGCAATTTTGAGCAATGCTCCTAAAACTAACATTGTCATATTATGTGACATAAAGGAACCATTTTCCACTGTTTCAGCTCAACTTCTGGTAGTAGGTGGTGACATGTGGTACACAGGTGTTACATTCCATTGCATTTTCAGAAACACAACTAGTATAGAAATAAATATAGCCTATGCACTTAAATTATTTAAACTTTTTACACTCAGATAGAACACATGGGAACAGCAGCCTTATTTTAGAGGTGTACAGAGTTAAGATCATAAAACAAAGCAATTATTTTTAAAAAGGTAACAAACAGCAATAAAGAATATGGTCATATACAATTATATAATCTTGAACATAATTGTAATTGTAAAGAATGAAAACATCAGTAGTATGAATTAATCAAACGCATCAATCAGTCAACAGCATAATCATAAAACCTGTACATACTATGGGATCACAAGAGTGTTGAGCTTCAGGATCTGTTACAAAGCAATCTACAGAACCTGCAGCAGAAGTCAGTCTGCAGAATGTGTTGATGAATTACAGATGCTCAGGTGAGAACTTTATCAGTTTATTAGGTGCATGAAAATGTATTTTTATTTACTGAAACCCCTTGAACTCATGTCAAAAATACACTTTTGATTTAAAAATAAACAATATGGCAGTTACAAAACAAAAATGTATGATCTGCTGGTGTGCGTATTTGTGCTTGGTTTCTTTGATGAATCTGAAAAAGGTTGTGTACACTGGACCATGGGATTGTATGAACAGACTGTAAAAGCAAAAACACGTAATACAGCCTCGGGGGGCATATGAATGATGCTTTAATTTCATGACATCAAAGAAAGACTAAATGAATGAAATGCTCAAATAATCATATTTATTGAATTAATCAAAACAATCCTAAATTAACCATTGTCTACGGCATTCTGCCATCATCTGATATTATTTCAAGTACCGCCTTCCATCTCACGTCTGTCTCTCGCCATAATGCATTATTCACTGTGTTCAGGCCAAGCCTTGCTCATTATAATTCTCCAGTTAAAAAGAGCGACACTTGATTCCATTGTGGCGAGGATGTGTCACTCTTTGGTGATAGGGTGTTAATGACACCGTGCTGCATAATTGTTAATCTTTCAGTGGCAGAACTTGTTCAAGATCATCACAAAAAATGTCAAGTTGCAGCATTGTTTCTTCTTTTTGTTTCAGTGTGGTCCCCATCACAGTGAGTTTCCTTCTACAAATTACTATTGTTGTAAAAGTAGTGGCAATATAAAGTGGATTGATCTTCCAACATGCCCCCAGATCCCATCCTATCCCCTCCTGTTCATCCCTTTAATACATCATCCTGACTTTGTGTGGAGTTTCCATGTTGTCCCTATGTTTGTGTGGGTTTCCTTGCAGTATTTTGTTTTCTCTTCCACAGACTAAATTCTTATGCTTTGCTTTGTTGTCCTTGTTTTAGCTGTGTGTCTGCGTGCATCATTTGTTCTCAGCACTGTGTGTAAGAACACAGATAATCAATGGAAACTGGAGTCAAACATATACTTGGCCAAGGCTGTTTCTGCTTCCTATTATGATTTCAAAGAGTAGCCTGGAGTATAATTCATCCTCGTGTGATTTTAAATGTGGAATGAGCCCTGTGACAGACTGGTGACCGGCCCAGTCTCCTTCGCTTTCTCTTCAATCAAACCCACGCCTCCCTGCCACCCTGAAGAAGAATGCAGGAAATAAATGCACTATTGTCAAGGATTAAGGCAGAGTGCGCTGCAGTATTTTTGACGACAATGAGGAAACACTGCTGGAATGTGTTACATAAAGTGCAATTTTAAGCTTTTCTTTGAGCTCTAATGCCTTTTTCATGAGACTGCATGATGATATTTCAGCAAAGACTAAAATAAATGAGATTATCCCCTCTCTTCAGTATGCCTAATCTTATGAAAGAATAAAAGAAGATTATATCATCACAGGCAAACATGCATGATGCAAGACAGCAACATCTCCCCTTTGAAAAAAGTGTGTTTGCTCTCACACTTTCACTGTTGACTGGTAGTAATGTTGTCATGGAAATTGTAGATGTTTAAGTCGAGGATGCTCATTAAAACCAGTCGGTGTAGATTCACCACATTCTACTTATTTTCTGAGTAATTTTAAGGTCAAAGTTGCATGCACTGTAGATTTTGAGACAATTCAAGCTTTTTATCTATGTATGTTTTATTTTGCTGCAAAAAAAAAAGTGTCTGACATTCCTATCATTTACAATAAATTCAACTATTGCAAAGCTAAATGAGGAATTCATATCACAGGTGTCATTGACACCCTAAGATATTGTCTATGTTAATGAGTTTTAGCCGTATGGTGGTGTGGCTCGAGGGACGGCAATGTCAGTCGATCTGTCTGTCTGTCTGGTCTAGACTGAAATATCTCTACTAATATATGATGCATTTTGTGCAGACATTCATGGTGCCTAGAGGGTGTATTCTAGGAACTTTTTTGAACCCCTGACCTTTCCTTTAACGCAAGTGAAATATCTAAAAGTCTAATCTATGACTTTGCACCAACTTTTGTACAGCGTTCATGGTCCCCAGAGGTTGAAGCTCAATGACTTTGGTGAACCCCTGACTTTCCATCTAGTTCCACCATGAGCTTTTGTATGAAACTATTGAATGGACTCCCATGGCAATTGGTGCAGACATTTGTGTCCCCCTTTAGATGGACTGTAATGATTTTGGTGATCCCTTAACTTTTCATCGAGTGCCATCATCAGTTTTGATTTGTCAAAATTTTTGAATGACCTGAAAAACGAATGACACTGTTGCAAAACTAATGACAATGTTAGCATTGCCATTGTTATCATGTCAGCATGCTCATGTTAGCCAAAGCACCACTGTGCATAAATTAAGCCTCACAAAGCAGCTAGCATGACTGTAGACTCTTAGTCCTGTTCTTTAAAGTCAGATATGAACCCAAAAATGTGATGATCAAATAATATTACGTTCACTCAGGTGTTCATGTATTCCTTCAAGCAGAATTATTCCTAATGCTAGATTTCCACTATGTCCCATTCTTTTTAATATGTTGTTCCTCCATACATCTTTTAATATTCCTCTTTTACAAAAACAAGGAAACTCCTGGTGATTATTTTTTTCATCAAAGCATTGTGTGAAAACTGACTGTGGGAGGACAGTGTTAGCCAGACAATGTGGAGCTTTTCAGTGTTATATATTGAGCACTGATTATGTTCAGCTTGCATTGGATCTCTTTATTGGAGCTTTTTTCATTTATTTATGTATATTTTACATTTTTTCAAGAACCAAAGCCCCTGGGCAGTTTTTAATAAGAGATTAGGTTCCATCAATGTAGAAAACTTTGGACAGGATAATTCATTTTAACAGAGAAGATGAGATGCAGAAGGTATTTTGATTTATTTATGACATTATACTGTGATTTAGCTAAATAGTATGTTGATCTAAAACCAGAAACTTCTTAGAGGTAAAGAGAAACATTACATCATTAACTGTATAAACTCTATAATATAATTGCAAGTGACAACAGGTGTGGGTAATGAGATTGATAACAGATTAAAATGTAAAGGAAATGTGGCTTTCCAGCTCATTTATCTACTCAACATGCACGCAGCATGATACAACAAGTCATTCGCTTTGTGCAGTTGAGTAATATTCTGCACTATCACTGTTGAGAGGAAGATGTATTGCCAGCAAAAGTACAGATTCGGGATTAAAGTCAATTCAAAGCAGATCATTTCCGCTTTTCATTCCTTTCAGTAGAAATCATAACGAGAATGTGAATCTGTGAGTCGCTTTTGGTGAAGCCTCAACAAGAGTTCTTGAATCAGCAGAGAGTATTTCAGAGCTTAATCATGTCTCTGGTTGACGAGCACCCTTCTTGCACTCGCTGTCGCTGAGGAATAACTGAGGAATGTAATGGAAATTATCCAGCTCTTTTTTTTAAATTCCACTCAAAGATTAAACAAATCACAGCTGAAGAGATTTCTGGCTGTTTTTTGTACCTCAAAATCGATGCTTACCTCCAAGTTCAAGACGTGGACTCACTGAAGCTGTTTAAAAAGAACTTCAAACACCGGTCCTACTTTTAATACCCGTCAGAAATCATTCCAGAGTGACAGGGGATTACCAGGCTTAATGCTTAAAAATCAAATTCACTCCTTAAAAATGCTGCAGAAACTGGAGTCGTTTGAACCTTTCTGAAAAATGACTCTTAGCAGAGGATTGGCAAATATAGCGTGAGTAGAAAATAATTCTTTGAAAAAGCTATAAATATACAACAAAATATTGGATGCAAAATGGAACGTAGTGTGTGTGCAGATGTAACTGTTTCCCCTGCAGCCAGAGGGATAGCTGGGTGGATCTCTGAGGTCATAGTCCTCTCTCTGGGTCTTTGTAGCGGCCGCCATCTCCAAACTGACTGACTGAGTGAGATAAGGCGCTCAAA